CCTCAGGGTTTGGTCTCCAGTTGGGGTGGTACAAGATTGTGTTCACATGCGGAATATAATCTGGGAAAAATAGTTTTCTGTGGATATGTTTGCCCGGGACAAAAATTGGGTTAATACTAATTTGTGCATTTTCCATCCATCCATCTATCATCTTCTTCCCCTTAATCCATTTCTGGGTTGGGGGGGTGGCAGTCAGTGTTGCACCCAATTCACATCACACCAGCCCCCTATTGTGTATTTTGAGAGCCCAAAAGTCATCATACAAAAGATACGAAACAAAGTCCATCATATGAGTGGTTGAAGTACTAATATACTTTGTTTAATGGATTCTGCTCCAAAAAGGAATATGGAAACATCTCGTCTGGTCTCATTTTTATGAAATCTCGTGGCTCATCTTGTTTTTGTGTAAAATCATAAAATACATCTTCACAATTTACAGGAAAAAATGAATCACAAACATAATAGCTGTATCTGTGGTCAAAATTGTATGTACAGTTTTCCGTAAATCTTTGCACAAATATATTGCTTGTATCAACTCAGCACTTTCGTGACTTGCCAAAAACACTCAATTTACTGTATCTCAAATTCTCAGATTCAAGCAAGCTGGAAAAAATGAACCGTGGTCCATCTCCAGAGAGCCACAGAATTCTGCCCATGTTCTGGTGTATATCTCTTTATCTAAGGAATGGAGAGCTGGAGTCATGTCAATCAGGCGCTTGGCACAGTTACCTTACCGACTCTATACCGCGATCGCTGCTGTCACTCAAGCTATCTTCAAGATGGAAAGGAAAGGCTAAAGTAATTGGATTTGCTGCTAGCAGGGAAACGATGAAATGACAGGAAATGTGTCCGTTAGCCGCGCACCTCCAAACCGCGCCGCTCTGTTGGTCTGAGGGCGTTTTGTTTCAGGGTACTCCAGGCTGAGGAGAGCGGCTGTCACAGAAGCAGCCAAAAACTATTGAGGAATGAAAAGATTTGCAGGTTTTCTGAAATGAGCTAAGGGGCCTGGGATGTTATGGCATTTGGTTTAAAGTTTCATCAAAATGCTGAACATGTTACATTGTGATCAGATTTGATGCAATGAATTTATATGAAAAATGGGCGAGATACAGCCTTTTAAATACACAAAATAAGATCTGAGGAAGACACATGATATTCAAATGCTTCCACTAAAAAGGTATTCCCTTGTCTAGTTCCTTATTCTTGCCATAAATGCATGAGTGTAAACATGAAGCCGAGACATGATTCCGTGGCAGGAGCTCTGTTGTGCACTATTGGGTTCACATCCCGGTACTCTTACATAGGTATTTCAATGTGCTTTTACGGCAAATGGGAAATAAACTGAATCTGAATCTGGGTGTTTGTTCAAAGAGAAAAACGGCAGTAAGTAAGTAATCTTTATTTATATACCGCCTTTTCACTGCACATTGGAGTCTCAAAGCGGTTTACAATTGTGATTTTTGGGAGTGGGGGTGCCAGTACAGGAGGCACATGCCAGACCTATTGTACATATTTTTAGTGGTAGGGGAAACCGGAGCACCCAGAGGAAACCTACGCAGATACCAAGACGACGCAAAAATGTAAGAAATCCTTAATATACTTAAAAAAACATTTAAAATAAACATTTCCCCGCTGTGGGACGAATAAAGGATCTCTTAATCTTAATCCAAAATGATAATGCTGTACTGGGGAAAAGCATCAAACATATGCCACGCATCTTCCCCATCAATGACTCGTCTGTATTTTAACATGCTCATTAAATATTGTGAAAAGTGTCCCTCAAAAAATATGTACAAAATCTTGGATCTTCCAAAAGTTATCTGCTGCATCCTGTTCTTAGCACCATATGGTACATTTTCTACTATTACACCAGAAAGAAGAACAAAAATGTCTTTTGGCACATCACACGCCTTCATCTTAATGCTTCTATTTGTGCTGTAAAAATGTGTCTAAAAAAGCTTTTAAAAATAGCTGAAATAACTATCATAAATCAGAATAATATAATACCTCTTGAATGGCACTATTACATAAAATGTAGCAAATAGTCTGGAAAGGAGGTAGGATCGGTCTTCAAAGGTATGATTACGGCGGCTGAGCCATGCCAAATCATTTATTCACATGCCACATGTAGAAAAGTAAAGTTGCACTGAAGAAAAGCTTTTATGTCCGTCACATGAAAGACATCTTTGGGACTCTCCATCTACCTCATTATATACTGACTCTTATTTCCACCAGGCCAATTTAGCCGTGCAGCTATACAAAAAGCATTTAGCATGCTAGTTTCCTAGCAACAGTTATGGCGTTCCATTAGCATGTTTCCTTTCATTTCTGGCTCCCAGCAGGAGGGACCAAAACACTCCTTTGAATGAGAATAACAGTGTTCACAGGCAGGACACGCCTTCACTTCCCCTGCAACGCTCACAAATTCATTTTACATTAAAAAAACACATAAATACATGCTTACCACAACACAAAAACTTTTAAAGTCTAAAAAAATACAATGGACATGATGTTCATGCTATTGACAGTTTAAGGATATTATCCAATCAGAAAGCAGAATGAGGCTCTCATTCGGGTTGCCTGTTTGATATTTATTTTGGTAATTGTTTCCTTTTTATACAACACATTTGACGGACACACAGTAGCACCACACATTTCTGTAAATGAAAGCAGCTAGTGTTAAGTAGTGTTTGTATCATTTCTAGCTCAGCACCAGTCGGTGGATTGCAGTGAAGTCTTTCTACAATATTATGAGTCCAGTTCCACATGCCTGAATATGAGTCTATATTTCTGGGGAAAGAGAAAGCTACAATCTATGTGAATAAAAAATGTTCCAAACGCTCTTTCACCTTCCAATAAGCCGCAGTCAAAAGTCACTTCCAGTCTAAATTGCAGTCTTAAACCCCGTTCCTTTGCTAGCCTACAGCTGCACACCCACTGTTGTGCACTTCAAACAACCTGCCTCTGCTGTGATCTTGGATTCAGTCACTAGCAAAGGTCAGGCTGCGTTGCTTCTCGCAAATTGAGCCTTGATTGTATCGTGGGGACTTTAATAAACCGCCCTACAAAGTGACATATCCCACTAATGAATTCCACCCCATAGGAAACAAAGAAAAATCAAATTCTAGCATAATTCTTGCACTTGTACACCATTGGTTAAGTGGGGAAAAGCCATAAATCATGCTCGCGACATTTAACAAATAACTAATATTTTGTCAGCTGAATGATCGAGATGTTGAGAGACACGCACACACATGAAAGCGGTGCAATCGTTCAATGAACTGCCGGGGCTTAAGATTTACACCAGTGATTATATATTCATAGATCGATCAATAGCTGGAGTCCATAGCAGCAAGCCATGTTGAATACACGGCCACACATTTACTAGCAGGGCCATTGTTGGAATTTTAATCAGCGGGACGTCGATACAGGAGCTTTACATATCATTAGGCCAGGATGCACACGCTAACTCAATGAATAGTAATAAAAGTACATTGGCTGTGTCCACCATCTGCCCAGAAGGGAGGTCCTCGGTGCTATAGGCGACTGGCAGGAGCGTTGCTATAGGGCCTGAGCTTACCAACCAGGGCTGCTCTATTTGCACAGGGGAAAAAACAGGCACTAGCCAAATGCAATCAAAGTGTTTGTTATTGTTGTTGTGAAATCTACCGTCTACTAACTACAGCCTTTATGTGCCAAGGACTTTACAACGGAGAACTATGTGTATGTGGAAAAAGGGCATAAGAACAAGTTTGTGTTTGTGACATTTTGGTTTTCCTTAAATTGAAAAATCAGATATCAATCCATACTGTATTTAGTATATATATATATATAATATTTAGATATTATTTAAAAAGTATTGAGTATTTCTTTCTAGGATCAAATCAAGTATTAAAGGTAAAGGTGCACTTTATTGATCCCGGAAGGGCAACTCATCCTCTGCATTTGACCCATCCTGATGCCACTAAGGCTTACGTCAGGAGCAGTGGTCGCCGTAGTAACAGCGCCCAGGAACCTATATCCAGATGTTGATGCTCGGCTTGGTCAGGACTACCAGAGCTGGAGGATTTAACCTGGTGTGCATGTTTTTAGTGGTAGGGGAAACTGGAGTGCCCAGAGGAAGCCTACGCAAGCACGGGGAGAACATGCAAACTCCACTCAGAAAGACCCTGTTCCAACCGGGATTCGAACCCAGGACCTTATTGCTGAGAGGTGAGAGTGCTATCCACTCAGCCACCGTGCCGCCCTTCTATTGTGACAAAACTAGATGCAAACTCTAACCATCCATGTCTGTAACTGTGTATCTGTGTTTTACCATATTTAAAGTTTTTCTCCCAATTTTGATTTTGTTAGGGCTCATATAAACTTGTAATAATAACCTTATGAGCAAACTAAAGTCCTTTGCATCTTCCGCAAGCTCGCACTTCACTGTAATTTTCTCCCTGTCACTCATTCAGAGCCAACAGGAGCACAGGCTGGATACAAGATATCTGCATTAGAAAGAACAATCGCAAATCAAGATTTCACTAATAAATGAGACCGACTTTAGAACAGGATGTAAATTGTATTGCATTATCACACCGCAAAAAAATTAGAAAATATAAGGCAATAAATGTTTGAATCAAGTGCTTTTATCTTAATTTAAGTACATTTTGACAGTGTTAAAACGAGATTTGCCTATGGAACAAGTCGTAAAGTCATTCCAAGGAAGACACTTCTTGATTTTTTCATAAACAAGATATTTGTGCTGGTTCCACTGGCAGATCTTCTCAAAATGTCCACAAGATAAAACCACATGATTCAAGCATTTTTCACTTTTCGCTTATATTTTATCCTTTTTACTATTATCTCTGTTCACACAATGCAACTGCACGGATAGGACGCTTTTCGTTCATAAGAAACAAAACCCATATTAAATCCAGACCTCGCCATCTTCCCAACTGCCAATAACTGAATGTGTGATTTACAGTAATTGTTGTGTTGTCGCGCCATGTCTCTGCTCAGATGCTCCTGCCGTATCGATCGCCCGGACACCCCTGCCTCCTCCACTCCCCTGCTCGCTGCACAGGAAGACCAGGAAGACCACGTACCCCGGAGGGAAATGGGATTCCGATAGTCCAAGATATCACCCGAGGATCTGCTGAGCACGCACGCAAATCACCCCGTCTACATGCACGCCACAGCGGGGTCACCAGCAAGGTCCAGCGGGCTAGGTTTCAGCCGACAATGCAGAACGTTAGCGGGGGTAGCTGTGTAAGGACCCAGGAGTGTTAGCAGGTTGTTAGTGTGGCTCATATAAAAGGAGCTGAGGGCACAGAGGCATTAGCGGTCTGGTTATTACACAGGCTGAGTGGTCACTTCTCAGAGCGGGTTTAAAAGTGTAGTTTTAAAGTGCAAATGGAAACACGTAACTCCCATGGATTGGAAAGTAGTCATTTTTTATTTATTTTTTACATTATTTGAAGTATAAAGTGCCTGTACGGTGTTACACTTTTTAAATTTAAAGTTATAGCTTTGTAGCCTGGTCTTAGTCATCTGTAAACTCTGGTCGATGAGTAATTCCTACATGTACGTCGGGGTCTGATCCTATTGGCTGCAGTTTCTTCGGTTGTATCCCTACCGACCAATCAGTGAGCGGTGAAGGCGGGTGTTGTAGGCAGGTGTCGATGACGTCAAAAGTTTGCGCCAAATTTGCTGGTTGCATTTTGGCAAAGGCAGCGAATGCGATAATAAACTAATCTGTTCTGGTTCAGCACCAAAAAATGTTTGAAAAAAGTTTCATTGCTGGCAAAGATGTTGCGGCTCTACTCCCCACAGGCTTTGTTAGTGGCAAAAGAGATGGCTAAAGCTAGGCTAAATGCTAAATGTCTCCCTCACTTGGCCACACGACATACATCACGGCAAACTCATACCCAATCGTTTAAATCTGCAAAAGCATTTAAACCCTCCATAATCTGGAACAGTCTTCCAGAAAATGTGAGACAAGCTGACAATGTTTAAATCCAAGATAAAAACAATGTATCTGTGCGTACAACTGAGGGATTTTATCTTCACTCTGAATAATGTCTTGTGATTATTTATGATTTTAATGCCTTGAGTGACAGTCTCTATCTTGTTTTGTTCAGCACTTTGATTTGCATTGTGTATGAATTGTGCTACACAAATAAGCTTGCCTTGCCTTGCCTAAAATCCCTGCATACAATACAACTTATACCGTACTAACTGGCCTTTAATGGGCTTGTCGGTGTCACCTCTTTTGTGCTCATGAGTTTAGACAAGTGTAATGTTGACATTGTTCCTGACCTTGCTTTGGTAAATTAGTTTCTCCCTCACTTTGGTAAGAGTGAGGCAGCCTTTAAACGGTTAGCATCGATTCAAGTTCTTATCAGTAGAACCAGTGTTGTTCAGACAAACTTTGTAGGATTGGAAATAATATAATCAGCCATGAATTGAATCATGAATCAGACAAAGAGAGATAATTTTATTAAGAAAACTCATAATTAATAGCGTTATTACTATTGTTAGCTACTTTCTGAATTATGTAATTTTCTATTTGTTTGTATGGTTGGATGGACACCTGAATGTCTCCTTTGGGGGATCAAAAAAGTATCTATCTAAATCTGTTTGTATGGGTTCTTTGGTTTGTATGGTACTCAATACTTAATTTTCCAAAGGTAGAGATTTATACTTTTTTTATTATGCTAAAGTTAGAGATTTTATACTTGTTTCTTCGATGCTAGAGATGTTATTTTATTTTATTTTGTATAGTTATTGTTAATTAATCTTGTGCTGTGTGCTCATCATTCCTACTGTTCTGTAACTGGTGATGCAACACTGAAAATTCCCCACTGTGGGACTAATAAAGGATCTAAACTTCATATCGCTTATATTATTGTTTGATATTTGTTGTTCTTTTTAATGGTTTTTATGCCCTATGCTGATTGAAATGAATTACCCCTCATGGGAAAGATAAAGTAGCCTGAATCTGAATCTGACAAATCTGAATAACGACCCAATATGAAGATGGTAAATCCGTTTTAGAGCAGCAATATAGACTCACGGATTGATTAACTGGACGTATAAACATTGACAAGGTCAGAAGGTCCAGTTGAGGCAGAAGGTCCAGTTGAGGCGTCTTAACTCAATTAACGGCACCAGTGAAACATAAACATATTGATTGAATAGCCGGGCTTTAAAACCGTCGCACATAAAATTGTCTGGCTTTCACTTGAAATGCAGCTGTCAAATCAAGGTAAGAAAAAAAAGAAAAAAAATCGCATAAAATACATCTGACAGGAAGCAAAAGCCGTAAACACAAAAAGGCTTCTTCACTGACACAAGTCGTGGAAACACTTAAAAATAACGCACAATATTGGGCAAAACAAGTCAATGCTAAACAGAGGCGACAGTGACACGTGGAGCTGGGTTATTCTGTTCCCGCGAGCTGTCTCCACCGCACAAGCCAACCTCGACCCCGGGCGAAAGCATTAGCATTTTACTCGACAGCGGAAAGAAGAGAGGAATTTTCATTACCCTGATGCGAACAGCAGAGATATGTTCATCCGTGTCTACTGTTTATGATAACAAACATTCATTTAAGAAAGTCAAAATGAAAAGCTCGCCGTGGCAGATGGGAAAAGACATTGTGGCGTCCCAATTGCGAGCTGGGGTAATTACATCTCATCTTTCATATAAAAGAAGTGGAAAAGGCAATAAGTAAAAACAGAGTTGGAATCAAAACATAGCTTATCCGAGCAGATACGGATGGGGCTTTGTCGGCGTTTGTGATTTTGGATTCAATCATGGCGCGCATACCTCAATAATTCCAAACATTTCCTCATCATTTCTCGTTCTTGCTTTTTATTTGACTGATGCAATGCACACATTTATTTCTACTGAAATTAGATGTTTGAAATCACTGAATGTAAGTGGGTTCATTTCACCCTCCTAATACAATGTGTTGTTCTGATACATTAAATACATGTGGCAAAAATACACATTTTCCACTGATCATATCAAGAAAATGTTACTTGTATGTAAGGTCTAGAGAGTAATTCATAAAATAAATACGTATTCAATTATATGTAAATTAGGACACATAATACAAAATCACGTTCAATTCTCAAAATTGAATGTGATTTTGTATTATGTGTCCTAATTTACATATAATTGAATACGCTTTTTTTTTCCATTTAACCAGGAAAGTCCCATTGGGATTAAGAACCTCTTTTTCAAGGGAGTCATGGACAAAAGTTACGTACAGTTACAGATAAAAAAAAACAGTCACATTTTTTACACTACGTTCCAGTTCATGTAACACATTTGTACAACGCCTTCCTAAAACAACCCAACAACATTCACTTTCACCAGAGCATACAGACACTCTGGTGAAAGTGTCTTGCTCAAGGACAAATGACAGCATTCACCAATCGGAGCCGGCCATGCACTTCTCAAAAGCATTTCAGAAGCAGGATTTGAACCACCAACCTTCAGCTCAGTGGACAAAGTCTCTGAAAACTGAGCTACTGACTTGATCATCCAGCTGAACACGATGTCTCGACCTTCTTCATGAAAACATTAACAAACATGTATGGATGCATCAACTGAACATTGGGATCGGCGGATGTTTGACTTGTTCAGGCATTGGCAAAAAAAAAATGACATTGGCCGATGGTGTCGCGTGCCAAGAGATACCAGTAGAGGGCGTCTGCGCACTTTACTCAGTAGAATAAACAAAGAAGATGGCGACGGTCTTGTGGCAAAATTTTCCAGTGTCAGAAAAATATCAGCGTTATGCACGATTTAAAGAGGGAGGACTGCTAGAAAATCATTTAACACAACAAATCTCATTGGACATTTGAGAAGCAGGAGGCAATTGCATGAAGCTGAAGAAAAAATTGAAAACTGAAGCCGTGTAATATATATACTGTATATAAAGAAAAAGAAGAAAAAACATCGGTTATCGGCCAAGCTGTTATGTTAAACTTTGGTATCGGCCCAAAATGTCACAATCGCTGCATCCCTACAAACAATGCAAAGATAAAAAAAAGAGTATCTCGTTTCTATTCCTCGCCAAACACCTCTCAGTCATTTATAAGAACGACTTGAACTCACAGGATTGCAGACTCAATGATGCAATAAGAACTTTGAGGACTAATCCATTCGACAGCATTGTCAGAACCAATAACCATTAGAGAGGGATGCAAACTGACAGGATACTGCTGCAGACTCCATGCACCTCCATGTACCATAGATAAAACCAACTCTATATACAGCTTCAAATCACTTCCAATTCACGTTATAGGCACTGACAGAAAACAGGAGCAGAGCCTGTTAGCCTTAGATCGCTTAGAGATAGAGGCATGGACTGTTTCCTCATGCATTGCAACACCGCAAAATGTTATTATAAGAAATTCCAATTGAAATGACGCATGCCGCAAATAATCTTGAACAGAAAATATTTACTTTAGCACGTAACATTAACCTGAAACACATCACAGCAGTGTATAAAAAACACTGCAGTGAGTCAGTCGATTATAAAACATTATCACTCCTACTCTCTCTTTTTGCCGAGAAACAGTGTGTCCAAGCGAAAACAGAAACTCAGTTATTCCACTAACAGGAAGTGTCAACATGCAGGGCTGCTCTTACCTTTCGGATGCGCCCACTCCGCGTGCCGGTGAAGGCCACGGTGTGTCCGCGGTAGTCGTACGTGGCGATAGAAGTCATGCCGTCTTCTTTGTCCACGTACAGGGGAATGCCTTCGATGGCCGAGGTGCCCCCTAGAGGCTGGTTGAAGTCCTGACCGCAGAAGTTGTCGTCAATCTGCAACGGCTGCGGAGAGAGAAAGGTGAACGATTAGGAGAACAGTGGCGTCACAATGAGACTTTATATAATGAGTATCAGGGACGTGCGGTGAGGTTTGTGATTGGGGAGGCACTGACTTTAAAAGTCAGATTTACAATCATTATTCAAATAAAATAGCATTTAATCACCAATGCAATGACATCCACAAACTTTATATACTGTAAAGATAAGAGAACCAGCTTCTTTTAATAATCTCACAACAAATCTAGCTGCTGACTCTGCTCCGCATCAAACAACATCTTTAAGAAGCGCAGGTGCGAGAGACGCGAGGAGAGAGAGACGCGAGGAGAGAGGAGCAGAGAGAGACAGAGAGGAGCAGAGAGACGGAGACGCGAGGAGCAGAGAGAGACAGAGAGGAGCAGAGAGACGGAGACGCGAGGAGCAGAGAGAGACAGAGAGGAGCAGAGAGACGGAGACGCGAGGAGCAGAGAGAGACGGAGACGCGAGGAGAGAGAGACGCGAGGAACATAAACAATAATTTAAACAAGTTGCAGAACTCTTGAGCAGTGTTTGAATCAGTGTTTTTCGGAAAAGCACTACTTTGCCGGTATCTGTCAATGTTCAACATAAAACACAGATTAACAAACTCCTCCCCCGCAGCCGGACTAACCTCGTAAGTCCAGTGGTGGTCTCCCAGTCTATATTAATTCTTTCTTTGTTTGAAAGTCCAATTGAGAAAAAAAATCTTCATTCAAATCATCCATTTTCCAGCAAAAGAAATAGCATTTTGGGCTGATTGTTTGTTAGCAACTCTGGTATGAACTTTATGCTCACTATCACCCCTAGCGGTGAGGCACAGATACCGCCTGCCTCACGCCAAGCTTTTTCCTTGTGTGTTCATCTACGATCAAAAGACTTAAACTAAATATAAATTGTACACACATACGTGCAATACACTACTAAACACTAAGAGGAGTTTAAAAAATGTTTTTAAAGCAGGATATTTGAAACAAACGGTGATATATCAACTGCACGAGCTGAGTGCACTCAGACACACACACACACACACTGTGAGGGAGCGGTCTGGGGTGAGGCACGCAGGAGCGCTGCCTCACCTCGTCTCTTTGAATAGGAATAACGGGATTTCGGCGATTTTGACTTCAGAAATGATCAAAACTGATGGGAACCGTGCCGAATATACATTAAAAGCATAGGACAGTGGATATAAATTATATATTTAAACTAAAATAATTATTAGTTTCCAATAATGGCAGGTGAGGCTCTGCCTCCCCTGCCTCCCCTGACTGCACGTCCCTGATGAGTATAATAAACAACACAACAATCCTGTCACACTTCTCCTATAGTGTGTTTTTGAAGCTCGAAAAAGATATGGGCGAAAAGGAAGAGATGGGGAGAGTGTGGGAGGAGGTGGGGGAGGAGGTGGGGGAGGAGGTGGGGGAGGAGGTGGGGAGGTGGTTGTTGCGGATTGAAAAGACAGTTTGGTGCGAGGTGTGTTGCTTTTCAGGGCTGGCTGGATTAGCAGCTGATGAAGCTGATGTGATTGGCTGAGGAAGACGTGGGCCCAGTGCGGTGACATGGGTGTTCTACCAATTTGAACTAAGCAAAGCAAGGCAAGTTTATTTGTATCGCACAATTCATACACAAGACAATTCAAAGTGCTAATCATAAATAATCACAGAAGGAAAGATAAAAATATAAAATCCCTCAGTATGCATAAATAACGCCTAAGCTGCATTTTACTAAACTAGTTTGTTGTTGGGACACACAATCAGCAGAAATATGAATGAAAAACAGTTAAGCTCCTCAACTTGAAAGATTTAGTCATTAGGAGCAAAATATGTCGAATATATTACTTTACCAAATATAGTACCTCTGCCCGACATGCACTGACGAGAAGAGATTCCACAGACATTAGCAAGTAAGTAAGTAAGTAATGTTTATTTCTATAGCGCATTTTACAGACCAAGGTCACCCAAAGTGCTTTACAATGTTCAGAGTCAGATATTGCTCCAATCCTTCCACACACGGTGATGACAGAAGCGAGTCCAGAACACACTGGACCATCAGCTCCAACATCATCCATTCACTCTCTCATTTACATTCAGACCTATTGTGCATGTTTTAGTGGTAGAGGGAAACCGGAGCACCCAGAGGAAACCTACGCAGACACGGGGAGAACATGCAAACTCCACTCAGAAAGGCCCTGTTCCGACCGGGATTCGAGCTAAGGACCTTTTTGCTGAGAGGCGAGAGTGCTATCCACTCAGCCACCACAGTTTTATTGTTAACTGGTATTTTATTGTTTTTATTATCACATGTGTATTGTTTTTACTTGTGCATAATGTTTTACTTCTATATATACTGTAGATATATATTTATAGCTCTCTCCGATGGCAGTCCTCCTGGCGCTTCGAGGACGTTGATGAAAACTTGCATATTTAAATGTGTTTTATCTCCGTGCCACACTTTGGAAACTTGTTTTAAAAAATGTGGAGAATAGATAATGTGGATTGGATTGGCTAAAAATACAAAACGGTGTAACATATTGCACCTTATATCTTAAACGAAACACCCAAATCCTGATAAATCCTATATTAGAGAGCATTCAAACCTGGACCTAAACATCCACGCACTTGTAAATACACAATGTCGAGCTGCCATTAACAACCTCTGCATTCTTTCCACAACTGTTGCAAACGTCTTAAATATTGATTCCTTGATAGAGCGCTGAGGCAAAGTGGTTTCTAATAAGTCCTAAATCAAATGTGAATGGGGCGAATAGCAGCGATGTGAAAGGCAGCCGATATTAGCATATGGTAATAAAAGTGTCCGATGGCGTTGTGATGCGTCTCGCTTGATTTGTCACAATGTATGATGGCGTGACAGGCGCGTGTGCGATCAGACTGAGGCCGAGGCCATGGTTACATCATGGACAGACCGTCAGCCAAAGACTGTCTTATGACTGACTTCTTTTGAGGAAGTGTGAGCATACTTTGAAACTAAATAACAGTGTGATTTTGACTGGAGACAATAGCAGCTCTGTGTTTTAATATTGAAAATTCGAGGAGTTGTGTGTGTCCTATAGGGTTTCCATGTCATCTTACATTTTCTAGGAAGTTGTTTAACTTACTTTACTAACACAGTTTCAAAACAGTTGTATACATTAAGCTTGTATTATATTATCACATTTATTTCTTCGTTGTGAGATCAATATTGTTTTTTGTAGTGAATCATTAGACAACTGGAGACAGTACGATCAGGACATAGATAGATAGATAGATAGATACAGTAGATAGATATTGTATTGTTCCTCGTAGGAGAAATTCAAGTGTCCAGTAGCAGCAGAAACACATCCATCCACACAAACTAAACAAAGAGATAATTCAAAAAGTATCTAACATTAGTATTAAAATGCAAAAGCACTTCAGGTCCTCGCAGCAGAGGTGGACCATTTCCTCTGCTGTGGTCCAGAGTCAAATGCTAAATGCTTCATTAGCATAAGAAAATAAATAAAAAGCCTTCCTCCAGTGGATCTCTGCTTGGTCTGGTTAGTTAGGTCCGTGAATCCTCTCTGCTCTGGTCTGGATCATTGTTAAACTATGAAGACTACTGTAGGAAAATTTACAGGTAGAAAAAAGCACAAGAAAAATAGTAATTGTAAAACACAAAACCACAACTGTTTCAGAGCTACTCAGGACTTGCTGACGTTTTCCAGAACATTCAAAAGTAAAGGTTATAGCCATTATGGGTTGAGAAGTGCAATCGAATTAAAGAAAAATGTCATTTTTTATTCAACATTGCATTGTTTCGAGTATTTACTCAACAGTAAAACCTAAAATCAGAGGATGAGGAAACATTTTCCTGAAGTCAAACTGTATCGTCTTCACTTACAACAGTTTCCCAAATCATTTAAAGACCTACATTACAGTCCGCAGAGTATACTGCACCAGTGAGTTAGTGAAATGGTTTAACTCTGCCCTTCAAAGATGGACTGTGCAAATACAGATGACCCACTTCTGACTGTAAAAAAAATCAAGCCCAGGCCAAGCACAACTGGTATTTGAAACACTCAAAGTCACTACAAGAAGAGCTTTTTGGTCATTTTGAGGATTAGTAAAAATCGAAATCAATGTTCAATGTGTTTTTCAGTTCTTCATTCTAGTTATATCATAGTTTGTTCTTCATTTTAGATTTACTCATTTGAACCAAACAAAGTGAAGACATTGAACAAACATTGGTTGCCAGGAATGTGAGAGAAGTGCTTGGAGAGCAAAGCCTTTCTGTTACACACAAAATCTGTGGCTGCACCTGTCAAGACACCTGTCCACTGAAACACATCCGTAATAGCAAGTGTTGGTTTTCTAAGCGTTGTGGGGACATTACATTGGCTTACATTGTTTACTACATTCCAGTTACAACATATCCATGAATTCAATCCACTATGCACTCCATATCAAGTTTTATATCTTCTAATAAAGTACTACCATCATCTGGACTTGATTTTTGCCCCTCTAAAGAAGGCAGGTCCCCATGAATACTAATTTCAGTCCCACAATGTGATAAATCCCAGCCCACACACAGGCTAACAAACTTACACAACAGACTAATCAACACACAGAGAGCAGCATCCACAGCTCCCTCAGCACACAAGTGAACGTGGCAGCGTTCCCTTGTTCATTAAAGACGTATGGTCTCCGTGGAGACTAATCAATCACCGGCCCCTCCCTCCTCAGAGAGCTGTCAATGGCGGCCATGTTTGTGTCACGTCAGAGCGAGTGGAGACGCCGCAGGCACATGGGCAGTGTGCACAGGAGGCTGCAGTCAACTGCTCACTTTATCAAGAGGAAAACAACATGCACTGAATATATTAGCCGGCTTTTGTCACTGAAGTCTTACTGATAACACAATTGGAATCTGCTTCTGATTATTGCTTGTATATTATTTCATTTTTGTCCACAAACAAACCAAATACAGACAATCACCACAACAGATTAAGAGTTAAAACACAAACTAATAGTTTGGCACGTTCATTAATGGTTTGTTTGTGATATCTTTAAATTGATTTTGCTAAGCACTTAAAGTGTGTTGTGTAAACACTGTGCAGTACAAACATGTTTACCTTTGATGTGATATACATTGACATTACCATCAACAGTTAGGAGTCAAATTATATAATGAATGGCATTGATTGTTGCATTGATTAAAGTCAGTCAATTTAACAATTCATTTTCTACTGCATCTTTTCTTTAGGTGGGAGATCATAAGTCTAATTGCTGGGTAATAGTTTACAGATGAACACAAAGCACAGAATAAAATAGACATATTTTGACCTAAAATGTGCCCTTGAAAAAGTACGTCATGAGAAACAAGCTTATCACCACTGTTACTCCACTCAATGTTCCAACTATGGCAAGCTTATAGCAAAAAGAAACGCAATGACAAAACCAGCGCGTGCTTTTGACCTTAGATAGGCTGATAAATAATAATAATAATGCATTGGTTTTATACAGCGCCTTTCAGGACACTCAAATAAATAGAAAGTAATAAAGCCAAGCCCTGTGTCTGAACTCATGTGGCTCGGTTTGTTTCCTTAGACAAAAAAAACAGCAGATTCCTCCTCACTTCCTGTCCTCCCTTGGTCTGAGTCCCCACACGTCTCATCAGCGTCTGCAGACTCCGGGTTCACAGGGACAGGCCGGTGGGAACTCATGCTCTCCTCTGAGGGTCACTCTGTTTCACATGCCGCCTGCTCCGCTAGCCCTTCTGTCCTTTCCTACTCCCTCACTTCCTTCCTTCTGGACATGAGGAGAATCGTGATGGTCACTTGTTTGCGGTGTAATGGAGCAAGAAAATAGGGCTGATGGCTCTGACAGCGCGCAATGAGGAATCAAAATTAGCCGACATGCAGTAAACCTCAAGGTCTTCCCAAAAAGTAATGAGCAGTGGTGTGAATAAGCCATTTCTCAATAGATTATTTATGAAAATGTTACAGAAATGGTCCTGGATTATTTCTTACTTTCTGTGTGGTAGTTGTAAGTTCTTTTTTTGAGGTATATGGGAGGATTTTCTACTTCCTGGTGGATCATCAAGACTATTGGTCGTAATTGTCAATCATTCTGGTTGTACGGGCTCATCAAATAAGACCAGAGCGTTTGGTTCAAAAAGTGGAAAGGGCAGTTTCTTAAAATTTGGAAAAATCCTTCAACACTAAAACCAGTAAAGTGAGTTGTGCGTGTAAATGTGCAATATAAAATCAACTTGTGAAAGTGAAGGTCTAAATTTCCAGAAACAGCAGATTTGTAGGGATACAGAGGGTTGTATTTGCAAACTCTCATTTGCCGAGGAGGAATTCATTGGGATCAAGAGAACTGTGACTAAAACTTTGTCCAGATGACGAATTTTCAGCTTGTTCTCCCCAATCTGGCTCTTTCAGGTCCAAAATCAATATTACCCATTATCAAAACATGGACTGAAAATGTCGTTTAGCAACACACAATTCCTGTCTCTTCACAATAGTATTGTCACATCAAATGAAAAACCCATGCTATCACGTGAAAAATCCATTATCTGATTGTCCCAAGGTAATAATGATCAATATTGTTAAATTCAGATTTGCTAGAACACTTTTGAAAGCGATATTAAACTGCAATGAGGATTAAATATGTTCAAAATGAAAATGATGCATAATAATAATAGTAAAGATGAATCTGTATCATGTAAGTTTTTCAGATGGTATTGTTTATATGTTATGCTGCATCCGTCAATTTATATTTTAAACAGATGTATTGATAGATACTCTTGGATCGTCCAAATACATTAGAATGCAAAAATAATATTGAATCTATTATATCAATCGGTTAACCCTTTCAGCACCAGAAGGGTTTTTTTCTAATCTAATGTGAAAAAGAAAAAAGGTGAGAAAGGACCGCTAAAATGAACAAAAGATATGAATAAAAGAAAAGAATCAAAGATGCAGGGAAACATTGTTGAGAAGCCAGGTTGCTGTATAGAAAAAGCCCTGGTTTAAGAAGATTATGCGGCTGTGGGACTTAACTTTTTATTTTTTGTGTTTTAGTGTGTGTGTGTTTGGTTGCCTTGAGTATTGTAAAGGGCTCTATAATCTATATAATATAATCTATGTAGCTATTGTCGAAATCATGAAATGGCAATGAAAAATAAAGGGGTATATCCAGCCTAAAAACTGCTATTTTTTACCGTCCACACCAGCATTACAAAAACAACCATCTAAACCACCGCCATTTCTTCTGCATTTACTTAATTTCATCACCCTCACGCACATAGTTACTGTACGCTCCATCCATAGGCTCCATGGCTCCAGCTTCCACAGTAATTGTTCACGACTGTATCATTCGTCCCTGCCTTATTCCCACCGCGCACATGTAAACTAATCTGCATTCCCATTGTGCGACTGCTCTCTCCGATGGCAGTCCTCCTGGCGCTCCGAGGACGCTGATGCTTTGTTATGTTTAGGCCGACTTGCATCATTACCAGCGAGTCAACAGCTCGGATTGAGGCACAGCTGAGTGCAGACAAATGTGGCCCCACACAGAACTGACATCTGCTGCAGTTCTGAGGCTGATCTGAGGCTGATCTCAGGCCGTGGAGCCAGGGGGTGGAGATGCAAAGAGGTGGGCACGGTCGTAACGTAGGGAACGGGTTGAAAGGCATCACTCACATTGATTTGAATGAATTTGTACGGGTTTGGATGGAGATTCTTCTGCTTCTTCATTCAAAGCTTGCACATGTGTGTGATCCGACCCGCATGTTTTGTTCCGTGGACCACTGTTATAGCTGTATTACCGCTACAACATTACTACCTGAAGAACTGAATGCATTATTTCCGACCACATCTATATCTTTACGCATGAGTAAATTTCTCCGGTGTGAGATCAATAAAGTATATCTTATCTTATCATATCTCAAGCGATGACATCCTCTGCTCTTTTGCAAATTCAATCCTCTGCATTTGACCCATCCTGATGCCGCGAAGGCTTACATCGGGAGCAGTGGTCGCCATAGTAAAGCGCCCGGGAACTCATCTCCAGATGTTAATGCTCGGCTTGGTCAGGACCGGAGCTGGAGGATTTAACCTAGTGTGCATGTTTTAGTTGTAGGGGAAACCGGAGTGCCCGGAGGAAACCTACACAGTGCCCTCAGTGGGGCAATTACCGACAAATAAGAACACACAAGATGCGCACATATCAAACAAGATCAATCATTTAAGATAATCGATATATAACCATACAGATATAAAGTGTAGCCTAAACCTTAAACTTTAATCTGAGAACCTTTTGATATATATTAAAAAAACATTTAAATTGTCATTTACTTTTAGCATTGGTGTCTTATAAATCATTCTTTTTGTGTTTGCATCTGTAGGGTTAGTCAGTATCGGACACCACTGCTGCAGACTGCACAGTGGGTACTTCTCGCCACTAGATCTCCTCACTTTGCTAACCACCTTAAGATAAGATAAGATAAGATAGACTTTATTGATCTCACACTGGAGAAATGTACATGTCACATTTGGCACAGATAGAATCACTCAGAAAAGAGAGAGGTGTGCAGGATATAATTATGGACTACAAAAAGTGGCATTAGCAGTGCTGGTCCGTCAGGCCTACAGCGGGTCATTAGTGACTTAAAGTTATTGTACAGTCTGACAGCGGTAGGGTTGAAGAACTTTGTACTTTTCAGAGCCATATCAGTATCATCCCACTTAAAATCACCCCATTGTGAAAAATCTGGTCTTTCCTCCACTTCCCATTCACAGAGTACTACTATTACTACTGTATATAGTGTAAATCAGTCCCATAATCCTTTAAAGTGACCGTAACACAAGGTGACATAGTCTATTATAGCAGTACACTTTTTTCCGTCCAAAACCCTGTCCGTCTTGTCCCTTTTGGCTTGCCTTACCCCTGACTGAGCGGTTATTATTAGCTGCTATAACTCACCGTCAGACAATGTACACGGCACTATCCCGCACACCTCGCTCTATTTCCAGGGGGGGGGGGTTAGGCAAGGACAGCGTGTCGCCCTTGTAGGAGACCTAGGCTTTACATAGAACGCTCGAGGGCTAGCACGAGCGCTCTCCACCACCACCCTGCATATTCACGAGCAGTTACAGGGAGGCCTGCCAGAGCCGTGCTGGGTGAGTGATGATGCAATGGTGGGGGACAGACGGGGAGAGAGAGGAGAACGGGGATGGGCAAAGTTCAGCAATGCGCTTGTCAACACTAATGAGCCTCGACCGCGACATAGGAAGTTTGGGTTAGCCCACTGTGAGGCCTGGACGTGGAGAGTCTGGTGGTTATGGCGTTGTTGGAGCAGGGTTTTGCAATAGAACACGTCAAAGAAAAGACAAAGAGTGGCTGATTAAGTCACAATTTTCCCATAAGAAAGTTTAAAAAGGCATGAAAAGATTGAGTACCTTATTTTCTGTCCAAATGTTTTGTGAATGCACTTTTACAGGTCCTCTGAGACTCTGGAAACCCTTGTCAGGCTTCAAAATATTCTTCACATGCATGTATTTTTGGCCTCATCCTTAGATCAGCTTTTTTCAAGTGAAAGATAGAGAACCACCCTAACTCCGCCAATCAGCTCTTACAGAAAGCACCATACAGGGTTTCTTACAAGCCTAGTCTTACCATACCATTGTACCTTTTTCACTTTGTAGTAAGGTCTGGATTTGCTCAATTAAGCTTCATCTACAGGTAGGAGGGGTTAACTCCTTTTACAGATTGAAACGATTGGATCTGAGTTTATCGTGATGTATGTAATGCACCCGAGTGAGTGAGGCATTTAGCCTAGCTTTAGCCATCTCGTTTGCCACTAACGGAGCCTGTAGGGAGTAGAGTCACAACATCTTTGCAGCAATGACATTTGCTAAACATTCCTTTTGCTCCGGCTTCAATTTCTTGATATTTGGAGCTGAATCAGAATGGATTACTTTACTATCGCATTCGCCGCCAAACTACAACCAGCAAATTTGGCTCAAACTCTTGACGTCACCAACACCTACTGTACCTACAACACTCCACTCGCTGAATGGTCGGATGGGATTCAACCCAGACATACATATAGGAAAATGATAATTGACCGGAGTTTACGGATGTCTAAGACCAGGCTACATTCTTACATATCATGTTTCTAAAAAGATGAAGACAGCTCGTTATGGGCTGAAAAAACTACATTGATTATTTAATGGATTCATGTAAATCTTTGGTACCCCAGCTTTAATTTTAAGGAGCTAAAGCTGCAACATACATGCATGGGAAAATGAGTTAAATGGATAGTATTACACCGTTTTCTTGCTGTGCGGTATGGAAATTAAGAACCCGAGCTTTAGCATATAACAGTAATTAGCTAAATCTAGTTTGTGTGGATATTGTTTTCACCTACCAGTCAAAATTAGCCACACAACATGACTTTGATTGTCTTTTGTAGTGAAAGCACCCACTTCTCACCTCTCCTAGCCTCATTTGCATGTCTTATTGTCACGTCTATTTCGGTGGTGATTGAAGTGTTGTCACGTGAGCGGGAGTGAGGAGTGGGGGATGTGGACGCGGCGCTGACAGGTAAACACGTGAAGAAGAGATGTTGTGAACAAAGCCCCCAGAGAATCACCTGCAACTGGTACAAACATCTTCGGTCCCGCGAGGAGCCGAGGCAGAGGTGTGAGGAGGAGTGCATGTGTGTGTGTGTGTGTGTGTGTGTGAGAGTGTCTGCATGCATACGTGGTAGCTAATGCAATAGTCCCAGGCGGCGGATGCAGTTAAGTCTCGAGAGCAACTGTAGAACACAATAGTGATGCAATAAACAGCACAGATTGCAAAACAAGCAAAACGCTCATTAGAGATGATTGGAGGTGGAGGTCAGAACATTTGGTGACAGGTTGATTCATAACTGGGCTATACTTAAAATATTTGTGATGATGGTGACGTATCTTGATAATGAAATAATTTAACTTCCCTTAACATTTTAAAAAGTGAGTGATCCGTAATTCAGCTGAGTTTTGATAATTCTGATAACCCCCTGCAGGACTCGGGCCCCTTTGGAGAGCAGTTTTAGTGACAGGCTTATTCACCCCCGCTGTGTGAAGGAGAGGTTCCGCAGGTCTTTCCTTCTTGCTGCTGTCAGACTGTAAAACAAACAATGAGGGCTATTGAACACTGCCAACCTGAACAGACTTTAATAATGTCAGGAGGTCCAATATTGAACCTTATGACACAATTCTGAGAAATGCAGTGAGCAGGGTGGATGAATGCTGCACTGTGTTGCTTGTATGTATGCTTTAATATATTTTTCAAGAGACATTGCACGAATGCTTCTTGTTTTGTTGTGCACTGATGCATAGAACTGATTGCTGAAGTGGTTTTAAACACTTAGAAAGACTTGTCACTTTGGCTCTTGAGAATATTTAAACCCTTAGGGCCTTTTTAAGCACAGTGGTACATTATCAATCCTTCAGCTCGCCTTGTCACTTCCAACATCTTAATTTGCCATTCTTATTTGTGAATTTCAAGCTATACTTAAACATTGCGTAAGAATGCAATGCCCTAATGCATATAATCACACACTAATTACATGAAAAATCCGAGAAAATATCGCTGGCTAAACAAATGCACAATTCCCACTATATCTGTATCAACATACAACTCCACCCCTCGCGACCAAAGCTGGCGACAGGAATCTTCTCCCGTCAACAAAGGAGGCCCCGTGGCATCTCACAGCGCGCCGACAGCCCACAAAAAGCCCCTCTCTGCCGCCCAGCCCTCTGTGTGATCTGGAGAACGTCCAGGTAATTGTTGTGACTTGGCTCTGGAAGCGAGAGAGCGGCTCTGGTTGGCCTTTAGGTTCCCCTGGCGAGCCAATCTGTGCGCTCTAATTGGTTGTTAATGAGTGGATATGTTGGTGCGTGGATGTGGATGTGGATGCGCATCGGTGGGAGGTGGGGGAGGGGGCGGAAGACGAAGTGAGACGAGCGGAGGGTGACAGGATACAGATACCGGGGACATGAACATCTGCCTGACAGTACGGGCCAATCACCACGGAGACCTGCTCAGACACAACAAGCTCGCATATAGGCAACGGGCGGAGGATGTAAGCGGGATGATGAAGCGAGCAGGGACCGCGAGGCAACATGGAAGGGTTATTGTTATGAAATATTAAGGTGTCTTTGCGCATAGGAGTGTCTCATCTTAGCAATTGATCTGAGGTGTGGTATTGAAAGAGCCATGTAATGTGATGCACTATGGATATCGGTGAAGGCAAAGACAGATTCAGTAGTCTATCAATTATGCCCGTCAGCTCAGATGTAATTATCAATCGTGTGAAGTATTGTTTATACTGCACCCAAGGCAAATAGTGTCACTGATGACTTATTATTATTATTGAAGCTGTTGAAGAAATTACCAATGCACTGGAGCAAAAAAAGTATGCAGTTGGTGTTTTTATTGATCTAAAAAAAGCCTTTGATACGATAAATCACTCAATCCTACTAAATAAAATGGAAAGATATGGGATTAGGGGGCTGGCTGGGGATTGGTTAAACATTTATTTAACAGAGAGAGTACAGTTTGTCAAAATGGGTCAGCATTTATCAGATACTCTTGGTGTTGCTTGTGGTGTCCCCCAGGGGTCAGTGTTGGGGCCAAAACTGTTTAATGTGTATATACATGATATTTTTAGTACGTCCAAAGATCTGAACCTCATACTATTTGCAGACGACACTAGGGGTGCAACGGTTTGAAAAAATCACGGTTCGGTTCGTACCTCGGTTCAGAGGCCACGGTTCGGTTCATTTTTCGGTTCATTTTTCAAAAAAAAAGTTTTGTCTTTTTAATAAACACAGCTCATGTGGACTCGGCTTCTGCTCTGACTGCCCCCCCCCTGACCTAGAAATGAATTAAAGGGAAGGAAATGGATGGATGGATGGATGGCATATTCCATCCATCCAATTATGTCTATTTAACATAATTAATGAAAAACAACGCAAAGTGCAACATAAGAAGGCACTTTATGAGGATATTTACCAGTGGCGGCTGGTGGAATTTTCTACTGGGGGGGCTATGAATATGATGACTAGATATAAATGCACCACAGAATTTGACACAGTCTATTATTTTTGATAGGATGTGCCTATTCTTGTCAACCTCCTCATTGTGCTTTCTGATCCCTACCCTGTAGCTTTCATCCAGCTGGGATGAAATATTTATCTTCCCAAACATAGCTAATTTGAGGGCATTTTGCATGTGGATACCAGTCTGCTCATGCTTCTTTGCCTTTTCTAAAAAGTGCTTCAGATCAGTCATACCTGTCTTGATCCATGCTGGGTCAGATCCTGATGTTTGAAACAAGAGGCATGGAAAGCAAAATAAAGCATTAGCCTCGCTACATGCTGCTAGCCAAGATTTGGCGCTGAACCAGGTCCTGGACTGCTGACTAATGGTAATATTTGGCTGATCAGGTCCAAGCTCTTTAACCTCAACCTTCTCCTGGTATGATCTTCTCTCAAACGGTATTGTTTTGAGTGATCTAACTGAATTATTCTTTTTCTCGTTCTCCATTTTGCGTCTCTTTACGTTCATCTCAAACTCCCACAGCTTGACCTGTCAATCACTGTAAACGGACGTCACAGACAGTGACAGTACAGGTCGCGGGCGATCCCGCCCCCTCAGGGCGCACTTCTCCTGCGCCCCCAAATCGTCTTATCTCTTGCATTGAAGAGGAGCTACTGCGCATGTACAACTTTTAACGAGAGTCCATAGACGGCTCAGGGCGCAATCTTTTGCGCCCTGAGGCGGAAATACGTCCTCAGTCCGACACAGACAACGCTGATGAGCTTAATCAATCCAACTCAGCATAAACTATAAAGTATTTCTTCCACATCTGAAATAAAACACACATAAATTTCGAAATATTTTAATGTTATTATTTTTTTTAACGTTTTATTCAAGATAACATGGCAAGTTGTGAGTGGTGGGGCGGCGCCCTAGCGCCCTCTATTGGCCGGCCGCCACTGATATTTACCCTCATATATTAAACCACCTTCCTGATTCTCCCAAGGAGGCGCTCCATTCTGGGCCCAGCCTCATTCACTGCATTTATTTAATTTTTGGCATTATCAGTTGTGACTGGAATATTAGTACT